ATGGCAGGAAAGATCCAAGATCCATTTGCAGTCCCTTACTGTAAGCGCAGGCACTTTGTTACCTCTCATTTTCATTTTCTTTTACATGTGGTCCCACATGGTTTCCTTATGTTTTGAAGCAATCAGCACAGAGCGGGGAACACAGATTTCTCAGAGCATTAAATCACATCTTGGGGTTTTCAAGGAAAACATCCAAGATAAACTGAAGGTGCTAATGCATTTCAGGGCTGTGAGTCACGCCACTCGCCAGCACCCTGGCTGCATTGCAGTAAGTGAAATTTCACCTACTGTACTTACAGCTTTTGCCCTGGCTTGGAGCATGTGTAAGGTTCTCCCTTTTCCGCCACTGTGGACGGCTGCTCTGTTCCACTCCTCCTGGGATCGGACTGTGTTTCTGCCCTGGGACAGGCGATGCTCCCAGCCTCCAGTTCTCTGGTCTGTGTGCAGCGTCTGGGTAGCGCGTGCCTGTGATCATGGGTGGAGAAAAAGAGCTGACCTTGTGTATAAATGTTTTTCCCAGCATCTGAGCGAGCTCACATTGCACCCCGTGGTCCCCTCCTCCTCGCTTATCACACAAGAAGAGTCAGAGGGGAGCTAGATTGTGGGTTTGCTGCTGCTTCCTTCAAGGTTGCTGGATGGTGAGCACCAGTGATTTAAATGTAAAGGTAATTTTGACGCCTTTAAATCAGCGCAGATGGGTTTTCTGGTGTTCTGCTGTCCCTTGGGGCAGCTGGGACCAGCATCAGTGGGACATGCTGGGATGGCATTGCTGGGTTGCTGTGTGTGTGTAGGGCTGGGGAGGGTGAAGCAAACCCAAGAAACACCACACCACCAGGGTGGTTTGCCAAAACTTGGGCCTCCATTCTGACTTTCCCCTGGCCCACCACACTCCTGCTAATGGGTCATCTCAGCCGTGCAGAGTCAATCACACCAGCCTCATCCCTTCATCTCACCAAGCTGCTGCTCCTGTTGGTTCATGCCACCATGCACCACCTCAGAGATGGATAAAGTCCCCCAAGCAGGGGCCACCACTGCCCCATTCCTAGGTGCCGCTTATGGGCGCACTGGCCACCAGTGGGCTCTCTCTGCTGCTGGCTGTAAGGCTGATCTGCCTGGCCCAGCCTGGCAGGGAGATGGGAGCCATGGCGGGAGCAGCCTGCTGCCCCGCACGCTTGGGGAATGGACCCCGTTGCTCCCTGCTTGCTGTGGAGGTGACCCTCCTAGCAGCCCAGATGGCTTTGATGTGAACATACGGGGGCCTGGCTGCTCGGTTTAAAGCTAAATATCTGCAAGGGCAGGATAGGTGCATGGCCAGTGCCGAGATCCCTGTCCCAGGGCTTTCCCCTTGCTGGGCTGTGCTGGCTGCAGTGCGTGCCTGGCTGCAGGGAGGAGGCACAGCCTGCTCTTGCTGTGTCCCCTGATGTGCTGGAGAGGATGTCACATGTGTTTGCTGGACATCCGCTGCGCCAGCAGCCATGACCCAAGGCAAGCCGTATTTATGCCAGATCTTTCTGCTGCTCTCCCTGGGTTGGTCAGATGCAGGCTTTACTGGAGAGCCCTTTCCTTTCAGCTCTGGGATGGGGAATTTCTCCAGCTCCTCACCAGCATGGCCAGTGCCTGCCAGGGCTGCTGTGGGTTGCTTTCCAAGTCACTGGAGATCAGCAGCGAGGCACGACTGCTGCTGGCGGAGGCAATCTGCTTATCAGATATCCGCCCTGCTTCCTTCCCGCGGGGAAGCACTTTGATTAGCTGGCGCAGGCCCCCATGCCAGACACAGGGTCCAGTCAAGCATCCATAGCCTGTATGGAGGGTCCTGGCAGAGGAGGTGCAGACATGGCTGCAGCATGGGGAGAGGAAGCCGGACCCGATGGCCCAGGGTTGTGCCCTGTGCTGCTGGGGCTGCCTGTGCCTCCCCGGGCTTGTGTGCGAGTCAGAGGAGTGATGCGGGGAGAAAGGGCAAGAGTCGGACCCCAGTGATCCCTGGACCCAAAGGACCACAGTGGGTGGTGGTGTCATGACATGGTAGGGTGAGGGGTGACCTGTAGAAGTCCATTAGTGACAGTCAGCCACCACTACGGCCTGGCCATGTCTGGAGGGGATGGCCGCACACTGACACCTTGTGATGGACACAAAGAAGAGCAGCCCAGCTTCACCTCCCGGGAGCTGCTGCTGCTGCTGAGTTCATGTGAAAGCACAGTGGCGGGGTAGCCCAGAAGGGTACTTGTAGGTCCTGGCAGCTTGATGATATCTTTCCAGGCAGCATTAGGTATAGGATAGCTCAGCAGCTCCCATAGTTGCTGATGGCCATGAGATTTGGACTAGATGACCTTTAAAGGTTCCTTCCAAGCCAAACTATTCTATGATGCTACGATTTATGCTAAATCTCTGTTCCCTGATGCAAGAGCTGCTTTTGGAGAACCCAGAATAGAGCTGGAGGTGTCTCACCTCTAAGTCTCAGCTGCCAGCGTGTCCATGAAGACTTGCTGGTAACTGATTTATAGGACAAGATCGTTCCTGGCTAGCCTCAGGACAAAAGCAGTGGAAAGCCACTTGTCACCATCTGCCAGCTCCGGAGGCGGCTCATCTAACAGCAGTATCTGGACCATAGATGCTATCAGCCCTGGGAGTCTTGAGATCCTTTTGATCTGCTGTTCACTGTCTGATCTTATTACTTTCTCAGCTCAGGACGGGGTTGAGGTTTGCTGCTTTCCTTCACTATCACTCTTCGCAGTTTGGCGATAAACTCCTGGTGGCTGGTCAGGTCTGATTTCTTCCTCACTGCCTGCTTTGACCGGAGGAGGCACTTAGGCAAGTGGGATGGGTGACAAACTGGAGGCAACAAATGCGTTGCTGTCTGCCTGCTGGCACCTTGCTGAGTTCCTGGCAGCGACTGCTCACCTCTGGTCCCAGGGAGACAGGCTGTTCAGAACAGTGTGTATTCCCCAGCTAGGGCCTGGCAATGTGTGCTCATCAGAAATTACTTACCGTGATGAATTTTTCTTTATTAAAAAAAAAAAAAAAAGTTTCTTGATTGATTTTTAAAAGTTGGTCTGCAGGCACCACCCTAATGGCATGTCTGAGTCCCCAGCTGGGTGATTATGGCTGATTATGGCTTTTATTTCCTCAGCAAATTCTCACTCAGTGCAAAAAGTTCAAATCCAGCTGTTCCCTTCTGACTACAGGGAAACCCGGAGATCTCTCTCTGATCCCTGTCTTTATCAGGCAAGGAGAGCTCCGCAGTCAAGGGTGCAGGGCAGAAGCAGATCTGCAGTACCATCTCTAAGCTGCTGGCATGGGGAGAGCCTGGTTGTACTTCACCAGATGCGAACAACTTTCCCAGAAAGTCCACACAGGATCTGTTAGAGCCGGCAGTGAAGTGGGTCATGTCAAGGTCCCTGCTGCGGGAGCAGCCCTGGGGCTGCAGCGTGCTCGTGGTTATGCAGAGCAGCGGGCGTGAATCAGTCTCAAAACCACCTCTCTGTGTTCGTGTGACGCTCGAGCCGAAATACGTATCCTCCTCCAAGCGGTGGCTGGGACATCCATGCGCTTCTGCCCTGCCCGCCGCACCTACACTGTGCAGGAAGCAAAGTGATACTGAGCTGGGCCGAGGATGCCTCTGGTTTACACCAAAGATCACCGTCTGTTACGAATGCTGCGATACTGAACCCAGCACCTGCCAAACCCTGGCCACTGAAAACACAGGCTCCACGCATGATGTTGGAGGGACAGATCCTTTGTGTTTGCCACCCACGGAGGCGAGGGGCATGGCACTGCTGCTGGGAAACAAAACAGCCAGGAGCCTTTGGGAAAAATAGTTTAATTGCCTAGCAAGGCTGATGAGAAAGATTCAAAGATAAAATTACCATTTTTAATTTTTTTTAGCTAAGAGATTTGCTGATGCTTTCCACAGCGCAAAATATGTGAGTTGGCCATGGTTGAGCAGAGATTATTTGGAAAGATTTTTAAGAGGTTATGTGCTGCATTAATAAGAAGCTAAGGGAGGCGGGTGGTACAACCGTGGGAAGGGAGGTTTTTATTTTGTTCTTTGCAAATTTGCATTGAATTGCTCAGGGGAGAGGAAGAAGCTTCAGGAAAAAAAATTCCAGTTGTTTCATTTTCCTCCTCCCAAACAATATGTTCAGGGTTTCAAAGCCAAGTTTCCCTTAGAGATTTACCCCAAGCTTGCTGACACTGACTGCATCGCACCTCAGATTTTCACTGTGATAGCAGTGCAGTTCGACAAGGATGGAAATGTAGAGTATGAAGTTGTGTCCTTGAGTGGGACAAGGTTAAGTATAGAGCAATGTGTGGTGGGTCCCGTTCTTGAACCTGGGAGGACATCTCAGGAGGGAGCATCATACAGGTGCAATGAAATTACAACCTAAGCATCATTAAGATGGGCAGTTTTCTTCCTGTTTTAATGAGACATTTGTTTGAAACAAGGATCAGGAAAAAAGGTAGAAACCCCACCTGTTTCTGTTGATGCATCAGAAGGGATGTTTGAGGGTGTGTGGAGGAAGAAAAACAGTATGAGCCATGCTTTTGATTCAGAGGACCAGGGAAGGTATCTTTTCTGCTGGGAGGAGGTTTAGTTTTGTTCATGGACCTGGGTAAATACAATTTGACTTATGCTGTGCCTGCACCCGCTTGCAGGGGAAAGGCAGGGAGAGAGGGCAGAAGGATCCTCTGCAGATTGCTCTGGATAGAGCCAGATGTGGAGACATGTGGCCTCCTCCACTGGATGAGAAATTTGGTCTCCTAGGGCAACTCCCCAAATCCTCAGACCATGCCTGTGTGAAACTGCTAGTTGAGCAATGAGGAAGTATGTGGGGAGAGCCAGATGGCACATTGCCCCAGTGTAGCTGTCACTCTTGACATTAGCTAAGGGAGTCCTTCCTCATCATCCGTGACTGCCTGTTAAGCATGACAGTGACATTTAAATGCTAGCTGGTTTTTTTTGGAAATGGTCAAATGGCTTCCAACTTGCTTCTGCTTTGCAGGTGTTCCCTTCCCCAAGCAGTTCCAGCAAGTTTGCACTAAGATCCTCACCCGCCTCTTCCGTGTCTTTGTCCATGTCTACATCCACCACTTTGACAGCATCATCAACATGGGTGCTGAGGCTCACGTCAACACCTGCTACAAGCACTTTTACTACTTCATCAGGGAGTTCAGCCTCGTTGACCATCGGGAGCTGGAGCCTTTGGTAAGGATGCCCCAGGGATGGGGAGGTGGAGGGGGTGAGAGTGGCGTGGGCTGAGCACAGCACAGGTAGATTCAGGTGGGGGCTGGACTCTGAGCAGTGCAGTCACGCTCTCTGGACTCCTTCAGCCACCCTACCTCAGAAGCACACCCATGGTTTCTGTCCTGTAACCATCGGCCTTAGTGCTCTGAGAGAGAACTTCCCAGCAACATTGAGGAAACCCTTTACCCTCTGAAAACCCTCCTTAAACTTTGCCTCTGCTGCCATGTCTATGAATCGCTCTTCAGTATCCTCAAGACCACCGTAACATAGCGCCCCTAGTGCAATTTGCACATTAAAGTGTTTCCAACCAGTTGTGTCCACATGGTTTTCAGGGGTCAGATTTGAGCCCAAGTCCCCTCTCCACAGCCTTGAGTTTTCCTATTAACAAACTAAGGTCCCCACTTGGGATCCTGGTGTGAATTACAATGAGGCTGCAGGAAAGCAAGCCCCAATAGGACATGCAGCTCCAGACAACAGCTACAGAGGCCAAGCAGGAGAGGCCTTGCTGGAGCTCCAAGTTTCTCTGCAGCCTCCCTTGGGAAGCAATTAGCCAGGCAGAGAGTGAGAGTCCTTGAAAACAGCAGGACTGGTGGGAGGCAGAGGCCAGACAGCCCGGGCACATAAACCAGAAAATGCACATAGTTAGTTTTGTAAGAGAAGCAAGTGTGTCACAGGCACGGTTGAGTGTGGTCTGACCTAGGAAGGACATGTTGCAATGGGGAGAAGAATTAATAGGGAACTCAGTAGTTAGCAGGCTGTGATAAGGGCTGGGTTGCAGAAAAGCCATATCCAGCAGCAGAGAGCTGGGGAAGACCAAGAGGATATAATCCCAGAGAGACAAACAGCTGAGAAAAGTCCCAGCATGAGCTGCCTGTTTAGGAGTATCTGGGAGCAGGAGAGGATGCCCCTGCCCCTAAGTGCTAAGCACTTTACTCTTTCTCAGCTTTCATTTGTCTCAATTTGCTGACTGTCTGCTCTGATTGTGATCTGGGGGGATGGAGAGATGATGATCTAATCAGGAGGGACCTGAATGACAACAGCATCTACATTAATTATTTTGTAGAGTTTGATTGTGACCTATATTATTGCAATGGCCCTCAGCTCCAGAAAATGGCAGCTCGGCATCACTCTGTCCTCTGTTAGTCTTCCTCACCACCGCTCCTCATGACAAACTTCTTTAGCATTGATATACAGCCCATAATGGTGTCATCTCCTTTGACTGATGCTTGCTAATGTAAATAATTAGCACCTAATAGCCAAAGCAGAGGCTGACATTGCTAAATAGGCTTTCGGTGCCAGTGACTCACATGCAACATGAGATGATTTATGGGTCTGGATGAATCTAAGATGAACAGATTTTCCTGTGTGATGCAACCAGAGTTAAACTACAAGGAAATGAGACACATTCACCTCTGGTCTATCTGTGTCTCATTTCTTGGTGTGCTCATTGCCTGGCATCCAAGCCCCAAGCACACCCAACCACATGGGAGACCTCCTTCCCTCAGGCAATGACTTGCTGTAGGTGTGTATGAGAGTGTCCTGCAACCAGAGGATGGTTGTGTCCAGGATGCAATGCTGAGTTGAGGAGGGAGGGACAAGTTGCTGCAGCTTATGAACAACTTTCAAAAACTGAAAGCGGTCCTTCTGGCCATGCTGTTACCCCAGGGAGGCTGCAGCTTGACACTGCCATCAGTCCCAAAGTCTGCATGGGCTAGAATTGATCCAATAGCTTCCAATAGCATTTATCTCTGCTGCAGGCAGGGAAAGCAATAATGGGAGGTTTTTTCACATGCATCCCAGGGGCTTTCCAATGAGCCCCTGGGAGCCTGGTGTAGCTCCGGTTCATTGTGCTGTGGAGCGTGTGGGGAGCCTGGCGTTCATGCTGTTCTGGCTTTGCTTCAGCAGCAGTTGTGAAGATGGACAAATAGTAACATCCAACCCCTGCAGCACTTTACACGCGACCTCAGTCCTCTTCACTGTGGCTAACTACTCTCCCCAGCCCAGGGTAGAGCACCGGTGACTTGCTTTGCTCATTTCCCTTCTCACTGGGCTTCACCATAGCTGTTGCCCTGCTCCTAAGTGTTTTTAAGTCCTGAAGTATTCATCAGCTGGTTTGACACTTAAGCAAGGACAGACAGTGCGGTTGCATCTGCCTTCATCTTAGGTTAAGAGTGCAGGGTTTAGTTTTTGCAAGTTCTCATGGTTTGTGGAAAGGCCATAGTCTCTCAGTAGGGATAAGACGAACTGTCCTTGAGAGGCTCAGTCTCTGTTGACTGCCTCATGAGCCCAGACAACTGCCCTAACCTTGCATTTAGACGGCCAGAGTTAGTCCACGTGAATCCCATGACAGAGGAGACTCCTGCTTGCAGAAGTGCCTGTTCCCTGCACGTGACTACGGAAGGGCACCAAACATGTGGAGGGAGCACATCTGGAATAAGACAGCAGGTCTGAGTGCTGTATTATGATTGGAGCTTTCCAGATGGGGCTTTCTACTGAGGAGCCCCAGTTTCCAGATTTAGGAGTAAGAAGAAAGAAAAAAACAGCACCTCTCCAGCCAGAAAATGTCCTGTTAGGCCCAAATAGCTTAGAAAAATTACAAGGATTGTGGGGTGAAGGAGTTCTTGGTTTCTAAGCCTGCCTCTGGCTGCATCTCCCTTTGCTGCCTCAGTTTCCCTTTTGTCAAGCTTCTATGGGACATGATTTCTTAGCAGCAAATCTTGGGAGCCGAGAATGAGATAGATCCTCTGTACGGGCAGAACTAGTGAAAGGCAGTGATTCACCCTCTTAACAAATCAAGAAATACGGGGGCAGAGAGAAGCTGTGCACTTACTTCCTTGACAAGGAAAGGTCATGGTGCTGGGCAGCAGCACTGGCAGAGGTCCAGCTGGTTACGTACTAAGGCAGAGCTGCAGGGATTTCCAGAGTGTGATGAATGCCTTGGACATTTGGGGCCAGCCTGAGGACCTTGCAGGCAGCTTGGCAGTCCACTGGCCACCCCAACCCATCCTGTTCAAGGCTGCTTTTTTGCCTGATGCTGTGCTAGTGGAGTGGGCTGGATGCTGTTGCAAGAGGATGTTCACAGTCTTCTCCCCCCCCCCTTCTTTCTCCTTCCGAGATGTTTGCAAACACTTCCTGTTTGCAACGTGATTTTGTGGCAGAGCATCGGTTTTTCATTTGATGGCAGAGTTCTGCACTTGACTCATTTTGCACGTTACTCCTACAAAGAAGCCCTTTCTTTGCCATTTTCCCCGGATGGATTTTAAAAACAAAGCTCTCAGCACTGAAGAGCTGAGATTGCAGCTTCTGTCCCCCTTGGTTATATCACTAAAGGGCCTTTTATAGAGTTACTCAAGGATCATCCTACTTTCCAAGTTCTCCTCTTTTTAGAGTTGCACCCTTCCTTCTCTGCAGACCAGTCCGACTTCAGATCTATACTTCCTGTTTGCAACGTGATTTTGTGGCAGAGCATCGGTTTTTCATTTGATGGCAGAGTTCTGCACTTGACTCATTTTGCACGTTACTCCTACAAAGAAGCCCTTTCTTTGCCATTTTCCCCGGATGGATTTTAAAAACAAAGCTCTCAGCACTGAAGAGCTGAGATTGCAGCTTCTGTCCCCCTTGGTTATATCACTAAAGGGCCTTTTATAGAGTTACTCAAGGATCATCCTACTTTCCAAGTTCTCCTCTTTTTAGAGTTGCACCCTTCCTTCTCTGCAGACCAGTCCGACTTCAGATCTATTTTGGGAGTACATTTTAATGTGCAAACCTTTCTCTGGGGTGTGTGAGGGGGTCTGTGTGCACACGCAGATTCACAAGCCATGAACCTGATGAGCCAGAGAGAATCACAGACTTTCCTCACTGCAGCAACGTACGTGATTTGCAAGCTATTAGTCAGGCTCCGCAAGGCCAGGACAAATACCGTCTTCCACCAGCTGAAATCTGGGCACCTTCCTAATGCAGCTGGCATGATGCCATCCTGCCTAAAGAAAACAGTCTGTTAGCCTAAACAGAGCTCGCTCTCTCAGGAGGTTTCCTGTGGCCCTCTGTTATTAGCACTCATTTGCGTTGCAGTGTGCCCGTGGGAGCCGTTGTCAAAACCACAGGTCCTTTGGGTGAGCTGTTGTCACCTGCCAGAGCAAGAGCCGGCGGCTCCCAGGAGCAGCTCCATGTCCCGTCTCCCTAGGCAGCTGCAAACGGAGGCTCTGAGAGCGGCACCGCCTTGTCTGGCTGCTCTGTGGCTGAGTCAGGAGCAGGACCTGCATCTTTCAACATCTCAGCCAATGCTCTTTCCTTGGACTGCTCACAAATCTAGGGCACAGCCAAAATAATCTTGTGCCACAGAGACCAAGGAGGATGCCAGGAAGGAGCTGCTGAGGCAGAACAGTTCCCAGGAGGGCTGGCATGGGAAATAGAGAAACGCTCCCTGAGACTCCCACGGTCGCTTCCTTAGGTTGTTTTTGGACACCTACCAAACTGCCCGGACATGTCACTCTACTAAAACCTGTCCTTTGCATTTACTGTTTCTTTCTTTTCTCTCCCCCTTCAATGCAGAAAGAAATGACAGAACGAATTTGCCACTGAAGCATTTTGGCAGGTGAACTCAACGGGCTTCGGAGCCCGATGGGACAAGACCCATCTTGTGGTGGGACACCTCTTCCCAAAGACTCGCTCTGGGCATTTCAACTCAATGAACTATGAACACTGCAGAAGAGCCTCTTCAGGCCAAGGCCGAACCCTAAGCTTGCCAAGCATCTCTGGACAGATATTTTTTTTTGATAGATCCCAGGCTCTGATGTATGGCTCCTGTCTTAGAAAGCCACTGCCTTACTGGAGAATGAGGCAAGTTTGGCTGACTTTTGCACACTCTGGTTTCTAAGACTCAATCCCATGTCTGATAACATCCCTTCAGCCACCTTTCCTCTTGTTTTGTCCTCAGCTACACTGATCTCCAAATGTTTTTTTAGTCATTCCTGCCCTGTGAGCAGGTGTGACCTTGGCTACCGAGTAATGCCGGTTACCTTTCTGAGATCAGCTCTGCAAAGTTGGTGACATTTGATCCCAACTGCCTTCATGTGGTTAGTTGCTGAGGTACTGTTTTTAACCATGAGCTATGAATGTCTCTCCTTCTGCCCTAATTCATGCTTTATCAAAGGGAGCCTTTCCCCCCGCCAAGGGATTTTTCACGCTTGGCAGAGGGGACTTCATGATGTTCTAAGATGCATCCAACACTCCTTGGACTAATGGCAAGGTGGCCCCATGACAGAGGAGGTGAACTGGGCCACTTTTTACTGTGACCAGCACAGTCTACCTGCGAAAGACTCAGAAAGTGGTGGACAACATTTTCAACGTCAGCATTTCCTGATATGTTGTCTTGGCTCAAGATCAGCAGATGCTGGCTGTAGAAATTGTTGTTTTACATTATCCAACGCTACAGCATAGTAAACCAGGTGGAGGACTTTAAGAGACATCTCATCTGCCCTGTTCTTCCAAAAAGGCAACATCAGTCCTTCTTAAACCTTTCTGACCTTTTGAAAGCATGCTATGGCTACCTGGTCTGTGCCATTATTCCCCTGAAAGGTATCACATCTCAAAATTTCTCCCCCTTCTGCTTGCCGTGCCTGATAACTAGTGTTGTGTTCCCTGTGCCATTTTTCTTTGGACAAGGGTTGACATTTTTTTTTTCCCACTGTTTTGAGGGAGTTAAAATCAAATTGTCTGAGCCACAGCATTGTTAGTTTGTGTTCCCTGCCCTTTTTCTGGGAAAGTTTTTTATACCAGACACAGCTGATATTTATAATCTGGGGATTGCCCATTTTTGAGGTAGGGAGGGGATGTGGCTAGAAAATGTAAATATTTAGACCAACATTGAAGTGCACAAGTGAATTTTTAGTGCTCAAAGCACTTATTTTGTTGCAAAAATCTATTTTTTTTATCTTGTATACCAGATGTATATTTTTACATGGAAATAAAACACAGCAAAATGAACACAAAACCACTTGATACATCATTCCAATATTTTCTGTGTAAAATAGTCAGTAAAAGTCCAAACATTTTTGTTCTGTTACTAATTAAAGAAATGTTAATAAACCTGGTGTACTGTATTCTTCCCTGATTCATCTGTAGTAAGACAGACATCATGAAAAAGCACCAAGGAAACCTTAAAGAGTGGATTTCCCTGAGAGTTGCAGCACTGATAGATCTCAATGCCATGTTGTGACCTCAGCTTGCATCTCAGAAAGTGGCTTGACATAGGCTAATGTTGCTGGTCTGCATCCTCCCCTTGCAGACTTTTCACCAGCATCCCACCTGAAGGTGTTTTTCCAGTGATGCACGGTGGTGAGGTTTGCTCACTACTTTTTCCAAAGGTATGTGGTTCCTGGGTCCTGGGATCAATCTTGCAGCCTCTTCTTGCAGTCAGGAACCACAGGCACAAATCATTGTGTGGTGCAGAGGCAGGAGATGACAACAGCTCTATTGGGAACCTTCTGCCTTCTTGAGGAGTGAGGCCTGGTTGGACTCAATGCACAGGACCCTCTGGAAGCTGGTAAGGTTGGGACTTATGGAGAAGCTGTCTCAACAGTGGGGTCTAAGGGATGAACTGACAGCATTCTACAGCTACTTCAAGGTGAGGTACAAAGATGACAGAGTCAACCTCTTCTCAACAGTGGAAGACAGTGAGACAGTGACCAACAACCACAGTTTGTGGCTTGGGAGGTTCAAATTAGACGATAGAAAAAAACATCCAAGAGGGTGGTGTGGCCAGTGAACAGATACCCAGAGAGCGAGTGTTAACCATCCTCAGTTTAACAAGACTTGGTGTAAATAATGCCCATGCACAGAAGCCTGCTTATATTTTGTCCTCCACGTTGTCCTGCAGCGATGAGTTCCACCAGGTAATTATGCACTGGGCATTACAAAAGGGGAGTGTACTTTGTTTATTTTTAAACACGTGCCTGAGGATTTCAGCCCTCCTGCCATGGGAGAGTTTCATATTTACCTCCTGTATCACGGAGCTCCCACAGATTCCTGCAGAACAGAAAGTGTTGATTGTTTCTGAAAGACCAACCCAGAAGCTCATCTCAAGCAACAATTTAAAAAAGACTGTTGTTTGTTTGTTTGTTTTTCTTTTCTGTTTAACATAGTTTACCCAAGGAAACGCAGGTCATGATTGTGCTGTGACAACTGCATCTTCAGTAACTCTGGAAGCAGTATAGGAAGGGGAGAGAGAGAGACCTGAGTGAAGGTCTGCACTGTGTTCTGCTGGATGAGCTCAGCCAGCTTATTACAAACCAGAGAGTCCACATGGGAGACTTTCACAGCCAAGCAGGATCACAAGCTCCTGCTGGCTGGATTCCTTGTTAGCCATTAAACGCTGGGTGTCAAATTCTTCCTGTTAAATCAGTGCACGCCTTGTCTCATAGCATGGAAACCCATATTGTTCAGGGTTTGTGCCCAAATAAAAGAGAAAAACCATGTTTGCAATCACCCTCCATCCCAGTGTGCAGCAGCATGTAGGAGCTGAGCATTCTGCCCCCTTCAGCTCCAAATTCTGCCACTGCAATGCTTGTGCAATGGAGAAGACAAATGTCAGAGCACTCCCATGTCCACGTTCCTGCTTTGCCCTGACATCAGCTGCTCTGTCCGTGCGGTTGCCTCCCTCAGGGGTATTCCCAACATTCAACCACTTGCTCCAGGGCTTTCATCCCCACTGAGGGTCCCAGCCTCACAGCTGGGGGGCAGAGGGAGCTGTGCCCCTTACCAGGGTATCTGAGGCCTCTTGGCTGAATTGCTACCAGATTCATAGGGCTAGTAATGAAGCAGCAGCGGATCTCTGTAGGACCATCCACTACCAGAAAGGTCATTCTGTCTTTCTCCAAGACACTAAGCCTGAGTGCCTCCCAGCCTGGAGTGTTTAATGCCTGAGCACAGCAGAGATGTTTATGAAGCAGAAGCACTGCGATAAGTATCTAAGTCAAACTTCTTCTCCTTTCAGGAGGCTGAATTGTGCCTATGAGGCTCCAACATCCCTCAGAGCTTCAACAAACATCCCTGCACCATTTGAAAGCAGGCAGGAAGCCTGGGATGCATTAAATATGTGCGTAGCTCTTGTTAGCCCCAGCTCCCCAGATGACTCATCTGCTCAGCTGGCTGCCAGGTGCCTAGGACTCATTTGTCTCTTTGCAAAATCCCTGGGTTCTTCTGATGAAGGGGAGATGTGCTACTGCCAGGATTTTATTTTCCGTCTCTGCAGCCACCATGTCCTTCGGGACCAAACAAAAGGCTGTGGTGCCAGTCACCAGGTCAGATAGAGGCTGGCACAAGAGAGATGCTGTGCTATGCAATGTCTGCAGACATTCGAGAATTTAGGAATAGCCTTGGATGGAGGAAAAAAGGGCTTTGTGCAGTATAACGGCTACTGTTCCAGTGCCACAGGAATGGGACGTGGAGAGGGCTTGGGCTCAGCCGGTGAAACATACTGTCTTTGGCTGGGCATAGGCAGGGGTCAAGGCTGACCCACCCTGGCAGCAGCCCCAGTGGCAGCCCAGTGGGGTTGGCCCATGGGGTGTTGGTGGGGGTTTGCTGGTCTGAGTGGCGGCTCCTGGCTTTAAGCTGGCCCATGGTAAGGCTGGACAGTCCTGGATGAATGGCCACAATAACCATGACATGATCTGGTCTGAGATATTCCTCCTCTCTTGGTGAAAGCTTGTAAAATGTAAGAGAAGACTTGGGAAGAGAGAAACAGAAGCCAAGGAGAAGTTGTTGTTTCCAATGGTTAAAAATCTGTCCATGCTGGGAGATGACCATGAATGACTCGGGATCAGAAAGGGATGACTTGGTTTAATAACACTAGATCCATTCCTCGATCCCTTTCTTGGAGGTGGGGGAAGATGCTGATTCTAGCAGAGAGTTTCACAACTAGAAGCAAGAGTGTTTCTCTTGAATATGTGAAGCTTTTACTTTCTGGAGGCTGATGGCTTTGCTAGTCCAGCCCGATCGGCCAGATTCCCTCATGCAGGTCAGGGAAGGACAAATGACTCATAAGTGTCAAGAACACCTCAAAGAACGAGTGTGGCATTCAGCTCCCTGCTGAAAAGAGACCCTGAGTCAGAGCTGAAATGCCAGCGGTGCGTGGGGGGACTACTGCGTGTCTGCATGGATGCAGAACATAGCAACAGCAAATGAGGCCTCTTACACGAGAGTCTCTTTCTGTAGAGGTGGCTGTGGGGGGTGGAAAAAACATGGTCTGCCTGAAAATTTCTTGAAGTTTAAGGTCTCAGTGGAACACAATCCATTCAGCTCTAATGAGGCACCTAACTTCCATGCTTTGAGATACCGGGTGATGGCATCTGCTACTGACATCCATAGGGCAGGACTCACTACCTGTGTAGTCACATGCTGGCCACATTTTGACTGCCCCGGGGTCTCTGGTCTCTTCCAGTGTCTCAGCTCACCCAACCTTTCCCCCATCCAAGCTGGCTCACCGCTGGGGCCAGGCACAGGTTCCTTGGCAGCAACACGGATAACTGGGATAGATCAGATGATACCCATTGGATCCTAAGTAAGTCCGCAGCTCCACGACT